TCATCTAGACCCAGCTCTCTTTCCTGCCTATGCAGGGGGTCGGACTCAATGATCTATTGAGGTCCCTTCCGACCCTAACATCTATGAATCTATGGTTAGGGGGCTGAGGCATATGACTTCTGAGGAGAGGCTGAGGGAACTGGGCTTCTTCAGTCTGGAGAAGAGGGGCACCTGTATACACCATGTGGTTTAATCGTCCATTAAATTAAATAGGTTTATAAAATTTAAAACCTGTTTATTTTGAAGTGTCACATCAGGTTTGCACACGCTTGGTTTTCAAACAGATTAAGCCTGGTCCCCGGCTGGCACCGCAGGAGAGCAGGATGGTCCTGCGCCAGAAAGACTTTTAAAGCACCTGGAAAACCCTCTCGTGCAAACAGTCATACCATTGCAGTGCAAGAAAGGGCAAAAAATGTGGTGTGTACAAAGGCCCCAGAAGACTAAGTGGGGATTTAATAGTGGCCTTCAACTACCTAAAGGATTGTTAGAACGAGGATGGAACTAGACTGTTACCTGTGATAGCAGATAACAGAACAAGGAGAAATGGTCTCAAGTTACAGCAAGAGAAATTTAGGTTAGATACAAGGAAAAACTCTATCACTAGAAAGCACTGGAACAGATTACCCAGGGAGGCTGTGGAATCTCCACCCTTGGAGGTTTTTAAAACCCGGCTAGACAAAGCGTTGGTTGGGATGCTCTAGTTGGGGATGGTCCTGCTTTGAGCAGGGGTGCTGCCCCTTTCCTTCCCATTAGATTGAATTAGATGACCTCCTGAGGTCCCTTCCAACCCTCATTTTCTATGATTCTATGATTGAAAGAGGCAAACAAAATCAGAGGCAGACAAGGTTTTTTGGGTAAATGTGATGTCTTATATTAGACCAACTAAATAGTTGGAAAATTGTGGGAAATTTTTATTTAGTTGGTCTAATAAAAGATATCACATTTACCCAAAGAACTGTGTCTGCCTATGTCCTTAGACCAACACAGCCATAACCACCACCCCTAAAACAAAAGCAGATGCATTTAAATGTATTTCTCAGGGCCACTCTACACATGCAGGTAAAGGTACAATGGGATCTAATGCGTGATCCATACAATTGCACCTCCTGCCATGCCACACATGCATGGCAGAAAGCAGGATTGTGGGATCACACGTTAGATCCCATCACATCTTACTGTCAGTGTGTGAAGCCTCATTGTGCATGGAGCCCTTGGCGCTGGGAGATCATGGCTGCTACAGTCTCCCAGCCTTAGGGGTTTCATGCACCCCTAAGGCTGGGAAACCATCACGGCACCCTGGTCTTCCAGCTCTGGAGGTTTCACACACCCCTGAGGCTCCATGCAGCCCTGGGGCTAGGAGATCACGGTCTTGCCCCAGCTGGTTCCTTGCATCTGTGTGGTGCTACCAAGACCCAGAGTCCACAGCTGCCTGAGCTGAGAATCCCCTCAGTTGTGGGACTCCCAGCCCTGGCTGGGCCTGGTGCATCCCTGCAGTTCAGAGCCTGGTCAGCTGACAGGGCTCACAGCTTCAGGGGGGGGGACCCTGCTACACATGCAAATCAAAGCTGGATACCAACCATAAAGTTAGTATACAATTTTCAGGTCTTTTATAGCTGGTTGGACATTTTTACGGCATGATAGCTACTTTACAGGTGTATCTGGTTTCAGTTAACTACACAATTAACAAGCTAATTACATAATATCTATAATGTGTAGAGGGAGCCTCTGAAGAACAGTAATCAAAAATACAGCTGGGTGATTTTTTTTTTTTGGCTAAAACTGTTCAACTGAAAAAAATGCAATTAGGTCAACTGAAACTTTTCACAAATTTATATTATTTTTTGATTGTTTCAATAAAAATGGTTTCAGTAAAAAGCATTTAGAAATTCAAAATATGAAAATGTTCATGTCCTATCCCATTTAGAATGAAATATTTAGGGTTTTTTTTATTTGATACAATGTTTCATTCCAAAATTTCCTTCAATTGTATTGCAAAAAATTAAACCTCAAGAACAAACAAAACAAAACATTTCATTTTAGCAAATTAAAGGTTTTGTTCAAGTTGTTTTCTGACTTCTTAGATTACAGAAGATTTTGAAGTTTCAATTCAGTCTGAAATTATTTTTTTCAGCTTTTCAGAACTGCCAGCAGATCAGTTTTCACAGATTTCTACTTCAGACAGAATCCTGTAAATTGTACAACATGGATGAAACCTCAAGCATCACTTCAGCAGTGTGCAAAAGCTAGCATATATAATTCAGTGGCAAGGCGAATCAGTGGTGGCAGCTGCCACAGGGATCCCCACATGCACCACAGTTCGAGAAATACTACTTTATAAAACCAGGACCCTAAATATTAATCTGTGTGTGTAAAGTAGGGCTACCCTTGAAACTGTTTTCCTGCTTTATGAGAATTATTCTGATTTCAAATTTATCCCCATCCCAAACCAGAACAAAAAGTCAATCTTATTGACTCAATTTGTAAATAAATTGTTCAGGTCATGCGCAACATTTAATTTTAAAATGTTTTGTTTAGATTTCAATCTTTTTGTAATTAAAATGTTTTTTGGTATGTTTACTGTAACTTTGAGGGAAAAGTCATTCCCACTCAAAAGAATGATACTTTTTCTCATCCTTTCATCTTATAAATGCTTATTTTAGCAGGTTTGCAATTTTTTAGAAAATAGCTTTGAAATTGTCTAACCAGCCAATTTACACATTTTCAAAAAAAGTATTTTCCTTGACTGGGAATTGGCTTCTTCTACCTTTATTTTTTTATTTCTGGTACCAGTGGGCACATCTACACATGTAAATGTTGCTGGATGGGTAAGCCATCCTGGGCAGGTGTCCACATATGCACACATTTGGGAGCAGATTTGCTCCCAATGGGAGCAACCCAGAGAGGGTGCTCCCACCATGCTCTGCCCCACTGCAGCAGCCAGGGGGAGCTCTAGACTCTTCTGATGGGGCCTGGGAGATTGCTCCCTGCCTCCAGAAGCTGCCTGCTTCTGGGGCAGGGACAATGTCCCCCTGCCCCGACAGCAGGGAACTCCCAGTCCCAGCTCCCCAATCTGGGGCAGGGGGCTTGGAAAGAGCTGCAGGGGAGGGGCAGGTCCCAGCACCCTGCCCCAACCTGCTGGTGGGGCAGCTAACAGGGGGCAGCTAGCAGCGAGGGGCAGCTAGGGGTCCCGATCCACAGGTGGAGCAGCTAGCAAGAGGCCCAGCTGGGGGCTCAATGCTAGCTGCCCCACTGGCAGATCGGGGTAGTGGGGCTGGGACTTGCCCCTCCCCCGCAGCTCTTTCCAAGCCCCATGCCTCAATCACCCGATTGGGGCATGGAGCTGGGAAAAATCTGCAGGGCTCGGACCTGCCCTAGATCAGAATAGTTCCTAGCCAGCCTCAGGCTGCGCAAGGAAGTCTACACATGCAGCTCAGAGCTAGCTGGGGACTGCTCAAAACAGGACAGTCCCTAGGCTGCATGTGTAGACCTCCCCGCATAGCCTGGGGCTGGCCAGGAACTGTCCTAGTCCCGGAGAAGATCCCATCCAACTTCAGGCTGGGCGGAGAACTCTCCCCATGTAGGGAACTCTTGGCCCCAGCTCTGCAGTCACGGAGTGGGGGCTGCGTGCTCCCTGCTCCTGGGGCAGAGGGACATTATCCCCATCTAGATTCTGCTGCAGAGCCTGCCCCAGCAGCAGGCAGCTCCAGGGGGCAGGGCTCAATCTCCTGCCCCCTGCTGCCCAGCTGACAGGGAGCAAATTTGCTTCCGGTCTCCCACCTACACATGCTGCTGAGTAGAGTAAATTACTGCACAATAAGGGTCTGCACTAGTAGATGGTGATGCTTACTACACACTAATTTGCTATACAGCACAGTAAAGTGTCTTAGGTAGATGCACCCAGTGTCTCGTCAACCACCATCAACTCCTGCTGCAGGCTGAAGAAGCCCAAGGCACTCAAGACCTCAGAGGAACAGTTGTAAATAAGGCCCTGTAATGCATTAAGACTGATTTTTATGAAGAGTCAGAACCCAAGGTAGATATGCACCATTGCAGGCTAACTAAATAAGATATATATAGATGCTGATGAAGTGAACTTTGGTTCACAAAAGCTTGTGCTCTCATATATATCTTATTTAGTTAGTCTATGAAGGTGCATAGCTATCCTGCCTTCTGACTGACTTCAGACTAACATGGCTAATCACTTTTCTCTTTTATATAGAGTTAGATATGTAATGGAGAATTTTCTTCTTTCTGTATTCATTGTCCATTGTTATAAATACTTGACTTTGTTGTGTTGTTTGGGTGTACACAGTCTAAAATCTTAATTTATTTTTAAATTATGTATTTTTAGATGTATATCCCACCCTATCCAAACAGCTCAGAGTGTTTACAGTAAACAAATACCCACAGACAGTATTCCCCAATCAATACCAGTCATAGGAATGTAGGGCTAGAAGGGACTTCAGGAGGTCATTTTTTCCAGACACAACTCAAGGCAGGATAATCATTAGGGCTGTGAGAAGCTTTGGTCCCTGATTTGATCTGGCAGAGATCTGGCCCGATTCAGTGGCAGAATCTCTGAATCCAAATTGAATCAGAGGACCCTTTAATCTCTCTGAATCAAATCGGGACCCTCCAAATCAATTCAGAGAGATTTGAAAAAATTAAGACATTTGGACATAGACACAGCTTTAAATGTTTTTTGTACATACTTCTAGGTAGCAGGGGCTTGGGAATGCTGTGATGCTGAGGCACATCGAGTCCCACAGAAGCATGGGGGGGCTCCCCAGTGTGCTTGCAAGCAGACCTAGAAGTAGACCAGAAGCACTTCTGTTCTACTTCCGGGTCCACTGGGGAGTGCACTGGGGGGCCCCCCGCATCCTCCTCAGCTTGGTGATTGGTGCTTTCTGCGGCTGGGGGGAAGCATCTGGAGTCCCCCCGCAGCCAATCACCGAACTGGGGAGGCATGGGGGGGGACCCCCTCAGAGCACTCCCCAGCAGACCTGGAAGTGGACCAGAAGTACTTCCAGTCTACTTCTGGGTTTGCCGCTGAGCACATGGAGGGACCCCTCACACTCCTGTGGGATGCTCCACATGTCCCAGCATTGCAGCGTTCACAAGCCGCACCTGCTACCTCAAGGTATGTAGAAAAAACTTTTAAAGCTGCATCTGTGTCCAAATCACTAATTCTCCGAATCAGCATCGAATCTTCAGATTCAGATTCAGCCAAATCAAATCAGGGACAGTGATCCAAATGAACAAATTGAATCGCTGTCCCGGATTCAAGCTGAATCTGAATCCAAATCGAATAGGACCCACTTTGCACGCCCCTAATAATCATGCATTAAACTATCCGAGCCAAGTTTCCTTCTAATCTGGTCCTGAAAATGTCCAGGGATGGAGATGTCACAACTTTTGTAGGTAGCCTGTTTCAATGCTTGACTACCCTCATAGTTAGAAAGTTCCTCCTAATCTTCAGCCTACATTTTCTCTGCTGCAGTTTGAGGCCATTCCTCCTACTTCTGTTCCCTACAGTCACACAAAAAAAATCTATCTTCGTCCTCCTTATAAATTGCCCTTCAGGTATTTGAAGCTGGTTATCAAGTCCATTCTCAGTTTATGACGTTAAGTGTTTGCAGGATTTGCCCTCTCTTTGTTAAAATATTCAAGTTGCAGCCTTTGTAGCACTTACCAGCATATCCTGAAAATAAGCTTGCCACATTCTGTCATGAGAGAGCTTGGATATCAGAACCTGGTTAGTCCCATTAGCCAGTTCTTGTCCAAACTAATTAACCAAAATGGGCAGTAGAGCATGGTAGCCCCAGGCAAAGCACTGTGGTATTCTGCTTCTCAAAGCCAAACTAATTTGTTCAGCGCCTACTTGGGCATCTCTACACAGCACTGCACTACCTTACATATTCATACCATGGGAGCCATTCTGAACCCAGCATTATTAGATAAGCAAAGGCCCACTATACTTTATCATCACCTGTATTTCAGACAGAAAACAATTCCATAGAATTTTCATTTACAGCACAACTATTATTGGTCTTATTTTCCCAGACTTATCCATGGTTCGGGGTACTTTACTCCACTAATACACAGTGGGCATGCCTACGTGTGTCCCTAGGTCACCTTTGTTACTGCACCATCATTTAGTATTTCCTTTTGAAAGTGCTAAATGACGGCACAGTGAGTCTGTATTGCGCCATGCATGCCATGCACGGTATGTTGCCATAGCAACGTACTATAACGAGGGAGCACATTGCTACAGCCATGTAGTGTCATGTGTAAATGCATCCAGTGGGTGCATCTACATATGCTGTTATTTCACAGTATTTTACCATGCAGTAAGCCTTCCCGGGAACAGATTTGCTCCCAATGGAAGCACTTCAGTACAGAGATGCTCCCATTCTGCTCTGCCCGCCTGCAGCAGCCAGGGGTAGCTCCAGGCTCCCCCTTGCGCTAGCCTGGGAGTTTCATAGATTTCATAGACATTTGGTATGGAAGGGACCCCGGAGGATCATCGAGTCCAGCCCCCTGCCCTAGGGGCAGGAAGTCAGCAGGGATCATAGGATCCCAGCAAGATAAGCATCCAAATGTGTCTTGAAGGCGAGTTGGCAAGGGACATGCCAGTCCCAGTGGGCATGAAGCCAGGAGAGGCCAGTCCCAGTAGGCATGGAGTCAGGAGAGCTCTGCTAACAGCAGCAGCAGCAGCTGTGTCCTTCCCCCGTGTATATTGATGCACACAGGGCCAGGAGGGAGCTGCCCCTACAGCAGGCAGAGTTCTGGCCCTGTACACATTGGGGGGCACAGCTGCCAAGCAGGGAGTTGCTGAGAGCTGTCCTGGGAAGTAGGCAAGGGATGGAAATCTGCTTGTCCTCCGGAGCTGCTAGTTCCACACCAGGAGCTGGGACAGGGGGCAGAGAGCTCCCCAGTCCTGGTGCTGATTGGTTCTCAGCTCCTGTGGGTAGCGGGGGAGCTGAGTAGCACCAGGACTGTGACAAAGAGCTCCCTGTCTCCTGTGGCCTCCTGCTGGTTAGGCCAACTGGGAGCAAATTTGTTCCCAGTATTCGCAGGTAGCAGCTAACTGCACAGTAGACTAATTTACTGTGCAGTAAATGTGCACACGTATAGACAGTGATGCTTTACTGTGCAGTAAATTAGTCTACTGTGTAGTAAAGCATCTTGTGTGGACACACCCAGCAAGTAAGGTACTACTCAGTCTGTAAAGATGGCAGAAACAGGTCCTCAATAAATAAAGGCTATAAACTGTGCTGACTTAAATAGCATTACATAGACATAAATAAATAAATTGAAGTACTTTCAATAACTGCATTTCCATTAGCTCAGATTCAAACAGAATCTCTCTCTTAACACTGACAAGCAACCTCAACATCCTGCACTAAATGTTGGTACATGAAAAGAGTTGTCTGATCAGAAGAAAATGATGTGTGACAAGATAGATGCCTCATCTGGTAATGCTAGTAACTGAACAATGAGTCTGACTGATCTACAAAGGATCAAATGAAAGCAGGTTTTTGTGGGGAGGGAACCCAGTACCTTAATTATTAGCAAAGCTGCCTGAAGTCTCGTGCAATCCTGAATAGTCTGGGCCGGGCATGGCTGTAATGATGATTTAAAAAACCTTGAGCTCCACGTCCTGCTTCCCCAGGGTGGTCGAGCCATGAATAAATCCTCTAAAAAAGGAGCACAATCACAGCTGTTTAATCCTATGCATCTCCAATGCAATTTAAGCAAACACTGTTAGGAGCAACAAGGCAGTAATTACAGAAATGATGAAGTGAAAAAAAGCATGATAGTTTTACATGGCAAACATTGTATTTTATCTCGATAGAATAATTTCACCTGAAGATCCTGATCATGCTAGGCTAGGAATTGATCACTGTGGAGAGAGTGGAAACTAAGGTGTGCTCTCCAGAATATCTTGGAATACTGCATTAATAGATAAATCCTTTCCAACATAGAATGAAAAATAGAGGAATCCCATATGGTGAATAAAAATTAACAATCTATGTCTAATATCAAATACCTATGATTATTAGACTTGTTAGTCAAAAATCTCAATACACTGTGGAATGTTTGTAAAAGTGTCTTAAAATTTCATGAAATTCCATGAAAATATTTCTGGTTGTCTTAGATTTTATCCAAATAATTTTATTTAAAAAAACCCCAACAACAAGAGTCCCTAACTTTTGGCTCAAATTTGATTTTATCCATAACAGTAACTAAAAATTCTCCAGGATGCACAGCTATTTAACTTTTTCCTCTCATACCTTCATTGTTCTAAATTTGTAAAACAGCGTATACTGAAGTGTAATAGACTCTTGTCAGCAACTGCTGACAATTTGATACTTTTCATAGCTTTTACAACTGACATATATTAAAAACTATAACATACATTGTTGAGCATGAATATTTTTAGTCCTTTGCTTACAGGCATGTTACATGGTTTAGCAACTGTTACTGAAGAAAAATAATAATTTTGTATTTCCAATTTTTAGTACATAACCTTTTTATATTGAAAGAAATTTGAACTATAAAAATTAGTTTTCCTAAGCAAATGGTCTTTGACTATTTGAATAGTTGAGCCTAGTTTATTAATTTTAAAAGAAAAATATAGTTATTTAATGCCACTGACTCTTGTGTAATGCCAATCTTTCCTGAATCATTTTTCTCAGCTGTTTTTCTCGCAGCCTTTCTTCCTGCTCCTCATTTTCAGATTTTGGTTCATTGAGGGTCCCATAGATTTTACTGGCTTCCCTTGGAGTGAGGTAATCCAACGTAGCCGCACAGGTGATATAATGACGCTTCCAAGCGCCGTGTTCGTTGTCTGTTGGAGTGTATGGCAGGAACCATCCAAACTTGATGCATTTTGGCATCCACAGACAATCCTTAAGACAAGACGACAATAAAAGAGGAAAGGCAAGCTGTGAGGTAGGGAAAAAAGTTTCTACTTAAAACCCTAAAATAAATTATAGTGCTACTTGTTAACACTTGCAGGTATTTGTCTATGAATTATCTAAAAATGTGGCAGGGGCTTAAAGCCTGCTATGGCATTTTCTTATGTGTTCCTGAGAAGGAATACTCAAAGCATATTAAGGAAATCAAATACAAGCATTGCATTTGTCTTCTTAAAAATTCTTCATTTGGAAATATTGTACTGTCTCCTTGATTGTCATATTTCTTCTAAAAAGAATGCAGAAAAGAAAGAGAAGATTAACTGTTGAGCTATTATGAGCAACTTTTTAAGATCCATATTTATCTGTGTATGTTGTGTAGTACTTATGTTTTATACCGGGCATGTCTACACATTCATTTACTCCAGCCTAGATTTACTGTGTGTCTACAAAAAGAAGTACTGTGCTGTATCAGTGGTGCACGGTTATTTTTAGCTGCTACACACCGTAGCAACGCACTATAATGAGGAAGTGTGTTGCTTTGAGTAGCCCTCGTCTGGACCCTCTCAAGGTTATCCACATCCTTCTTGAAGTACGGTGCTCAAAACTGAATGCAGTACTCCAGCTGTGGCCTTACCAATGCCACACAGAGGGGAAGTATCACCTCCTTAGACCTGTTTGTGATGCACCTGCTAATGCATGATAGAGTGTGGTTAGCTTTACTTATCACTTCGTCACATTAGTGACTCATGTTCAGCTTGGAGTCTACTATGACTCTGAGATCCCTTTCTGCCACTGTGCTACTTAGAAGGTCATCTCCCGATCTACATGTGTTGGTGATTCTCTCTTCCCTAGGTGCAGTACTTTGCACTTATCTTTGCTAAACTGCACCCTGTTCTGTTCTACCCACTTTTCCAACCTGTCCAAACCTGCCTGAATCTGTTCCCTGCCCACCCATGCGCAGGGCTGTCCCTACGGGGGGAGAATCAGGGTGACCACCCCAGGCCCCATGCTTTGGGGGGCCCCGTGGAGCCAGGTGGAGCAGCAGCGGCGTGGAGCCAGATGAAGCGGTGGCTCCACATCCAGCTGCTTGGTACCACCCCCACCCGCCACCAACATTGCTGCTGCCAATGGCGCTGGCAGCTTCTTCGGATCAGGGACCATGGGATCGGAGTTGGGGCGGGGCCCCACATGGGCTGATTTGTCCCGGGCCCCACAACCTGCTCGGGTCACTTCTACCCGCGTGTTTACTTTGCCCCATAATTTGGTCTCGTCCACAAATTTGGACAGAGTGCTCTCCACACCCTCATCTGAGTCACTGATGAAGATATTGAACAGCACTGGTACAAGGACCGAACCTTGAGGAACCCCACTGCCCACATCTTTCCACGTCAATACCGACCCATCTACCAACACTCTCTGGGTTCATCCCATAAGCCAATTCACCACCCACCTGTCCATGTAATCATCTATGTCACAGACACTTAGTTTATCTATAAGAATGGGATGAGACACCATATCAAAAGTCTTTTTAAAATACAAGTAAATGACATTGACCTCAGCTCCTGCATTTAAGCATTTTGTGACCTGGTCATAAAAAGAAACAAGGTTAGTCAGGCAGGATCCACCTGCTATGAATCCATGCTGGTTGCCCTTCAGCATTTTTCCTGTTGGACGCCAACAAATGTGTTCCTTAATTTTTTCAAAGGTTTTCCCAAGGATAGAGGTGAGACTAACCAACCTGTAGTGACCCAGATCCTCCTTCCTCCCATTCTTGAAAATAGGGACCACATTGGCCCTTTTCCAGTCATCTGGGACCTGTCCTGAGCACCAGGGTGCTCAGGCAGTCTTGCCAGTGGTTTTGCTATGACACTGGCTAATTCCTTCAGCACACTTGGATGAAGATAGTCTGGGGCTGCTGACTTAAACATGTCCAGCCCCTCCAAGTGTCCCTTCACTAGGTTGGGGCTAACTGTTGGTGGGCTGGTGTCCCTCTTGTGCCTGTCTATAATCCAACTGGGAGATGTGTCTTTATCTGTGTTCAGGAATACAGACGAGAAAAACTCATTGAAGAGCTCAGCTTCGTCACTCCTATCTGTCACCAATTGCCCTAGTCTGTCCTGTAGGGGTCCTGTGTTGCCATGCGCCTTCTTTTTTGCTCCCTATATACCTGAAGAAGGACTTTTGTTGTCTTCAATTTTTTATGCCAATCTAAGTTCCGTTGCTGCTTTGACCTTTCTGACTGACTCCCTGCAATTGTGAGCTAAGTAGGTATACTCCTTCTTGGTGGTTACTCCTGTGCATGTGCAGCCCAGAGCTGGCTGGGCAACTGACTGAAACAGGATAGTCCCTAGCTACCTCCAGGCTGCAAATGCTTCCCCACACAGCTGGGGGCTGGCAGGGAACTGTCCAGGTCAGGGGTAGGTCCCAGCCAGCTCCAGGCTGGGTGAGAAACTGTCCCCATGCAAGGAGCTCTCAGCCCCTGCTCCACAATCAGAATCACAATCATGGAGTGGAAGTTGGGAAGCTTGTTCCCAGCCCCACCCCACAATTTCAGAGTAGGGGCAGGGAAGAAGTGCCCAGCCCCTACCCCATGATTGCTATCAGGGAGCAGGGGCTAGAAGCTGCTGCCAGGGCACAGGAAAATTGTCCTCACCCGGGCATGCAGGTGGGGATTAGGGAGCTTGTTCTCTGCCCAGCTTTGTAAGTGTAGAGTTGGGGGAGGAACAGGCTGGGGAGCTTGTTCCCCACCCAACTCCATGCAGGCAGAGCTGGGCAGGGAACAAGCTCCCTAGACCCCACTAGCAAGGAGCTCCCAGCACCAGCTCCATGACCACAGGGCTGCTGCTGGGAGATGCTCTGTGGTCTTGGGACCACTATTGAGAGATGCTCATCTCCCAAAAGCAGGTCCATGACTCTGGGGCTGCTGCTGGGAGATGCTCATCTCCCAGCCTGAGCTCAGCAGTCAGGGGCTCAGGCTGGGAGACCCTTATCTCCCAGCCTGAGACCCGTGTGGGGCTTGGGCTGGGAAATAAGAGTCTTCTACCCTGAGGCCCATGACTGCGGGGCTCAGGCCAGAAGATAAGGGTCTCCCAGCCCCCTGTACCCCGACTGCAATGGCAGAACAGAAGCTGGGTGATAAGTATCAGCCCCTGCTACCTAATTGCAGCTCTCTGCTGCCGGGGCAGGGGGACATAGTCCTTGCCCTGGCTTCTGTGGCGGAGCCTGCCCTGGCAGTAGGCAGTTCCATACGTTTAAAGTCAAAAGCCAAAGCAGGTTTAAATATAGAGTCAAATCAGAAAAATCAAATGATAGGATAGGAGCAGTCTTCTGGTCAGAGAGAAGAAAAATACCTTTATGTGTAATTTTAAAAACTTGCTAGAATTGCGCTATATCTATACTCAGATTGCTCTGCCAGAAAATTAGCATATGACAATGGCCAAATGGTTTTCTGTTAACATTACTAAACTGGCAAAGTTGTGCCTTTTCCGGGTAAGAAAAAACACCTCATGCAAGTGAAGCAGAAAAAGCACAATTTTGCTCTTAGACTTGCATCTGCACTGGGTCAGAGATCATAGTTCTTCACACCCCTGCCTGACATGGCATTATTGCGTAGACCCGGCCCTGGATAAGGTTCCAATAATTCATCAGAGTTAGTGAATTAAGTAAAGCAAAGTTTATAGGTTCACTCTATCAGGTATCATAGGAATAACAGTCTGGTGCAAATCTTTCCCATTTTATAATATTTCATTACCTATCTAATTCCTTAAAAGTGTGGTAGATGGACACATGATGAGACTTTAATTGATAAGCACATATCTGACATATCTGAGAAAATATGAAATTCCCTTGAAAAATTATGCTATATGCAAAGTATAAATGCAGATTTCCCATTTCATAGAATGATAAAACGAGGAGAGAAATATCAGGAACCACCCGTCTAAAACCACCTGCACTTAAAAACTTCAAATGAGAGAGATTCCACAACCTTTCTAGGTAAAAGGTTGCTCAACCACCCTTATTGCTCAGCCACCCTCGTAGTTAAAAAGTTCATCCTACTATCCTATGTAAATTTCTGTTATCCCAATTTAAACAAATTACTCCTTGTCCTGTCCCCTTTGGATCAGAAAACAGTTAATCATCAATCTCTTTATGACAACCATTTTTGTATTTAGAGAAGGCTATCAAATTCCAGCTCAGTCTTTTCTTCTAAATAATCCCATATCTTCCAAGCTTCCCTTGTAGGTCATGTTTTCTAGGCTTCTCATCATTTGTGTTGCTTTCTTCTGGGTGTTTTCTCAAAGTGTTGACCCAAGCCAGAGCTCCAAGAAAGCAGATGCTGTGGCTGGAGCCCATGCTGCTCAGCACATGTGGAGCTCCAACAGGAGCTGAGCTAACATGCTGGTGAGCTCAGATAGTTCACTACTCATGTATACTCCACAGCTGAATGGAGGGTACAACCATGCCATTGCAGCCCTGCTTAGCCTTTAGCCTTTCTTATTAGCCCCTCTTCCCCCTTCAAATCTAGCTTCCCTTCCGCCTAGCCACCTCAGATGCTTATCAGCCTAGCCACCCGCTTATCTGATGTCTGAGGGTATGTACCAAGTACCTCTCATATATATCAGAAGCACTCCTCTATCTGGCAGTTTTTGGCAGGGACATGCAGGTTGCATTCCTCATAAAGTCAGACCAGGACTTAAATAGAAGCATCTGGGGTCAGAGGCTACCTGAACAGAGCCCACTACAGGTAGAGGCAGAGGAACAAGCAGTGGTAGTTTTGGCATTACAATGCTGTCTAGCAACTGCAATGCTTCTTTTGGTACCTCTACCTCTCTAACACTACTGATAACCCAGCAAGCTTACACTAAAAGACCTTGCCACATAGAGAGGGTACTCCCTCTGCAAACTTCCACTCAAACTCCTCTTTTAGTTGGCCTGCTTGCTGACACCTGAAAATGTCCAGTTACTGTTCCTATTCCTATTGATATCAGAAAGTTTTACTGCCTGCAGAGGAAGTAGGGTTATAGATCTATGATGACCAGACCTGTTCAGTTAAAAATTTCCAGTGCCAGCTGACTTGGGCAGTTGCACAGAGCTCCCTGGGGCTGAGAAAAGAGAAGATGTACAAAGATATGAAACATGGCAGCATGCTAGTGAAGTCCACTTTGGTCACTGGAATCCTCTCTGCAAACCAATTTTGGGTAAACCTGTGAAGAGATAGATATTCAGATACTTTTATGCCACCTCGTCCTTCTCTTTCAGAAAGCCTGATTTGTCTATGAAGAATACCGTTAGGATTGACACAACTCTGATGTGAGCACTACAGTGCAAAGCCCTCAAGGGCTTATGAGGAAGGAATGAAAGCTGCTATATACACTATATACCTATGAGGGTAGTCAGCTATATACACTATTTATTCATCTAATTACTGGTAGTTGGCTATTACTCTAAATACGATCACATGACAGTGACATGGACTTTTTCCCCGAATGCTGCATCATGTAAAGAGAAGCACTGGGTTTCTATAGTAGATTCTGCAGTGAATTGTACATGTTGCAAAGCACTGGGCCAAAAGTAAATTAAATTGTGTCTGTTGTGTGGTATTCTGGGCATTTAAATCACTGAGGTTTGTTTCACTGTTCTGAAAAGAATTGAAAATGTAACCTTATGTTTGTGCAAGCTGCTTTATGTGATAACTAGTAGGTAAGAAGTTTAAGAAAGACAACTACTATGAATAAGAGAGAGAACTTCATCATTTTCTTAGGCCCATTTGAGGCCAACAAAAAAGGGAGCAGTCATTTCAGATGTTTGGATTGGAAAGGATTAAGATGTTCAGAGAAAGGTAAAAAGGAGCACATCTACCCATGCAATTAATGCCACCCAATAAACTCCAGCACAGTTTGCACCTGAGTTAGCTGTTTCTGGGCAGTGTCTGCATGTGCACCCAGGACAACAGTAGTTTGAGCCAGGGCAGAGCATCCCTGGGTAGGCTGCAGGCTTGTGTGGCAGCATCAGGCAGCAGAGAGGCTGTCTGGGGCACAAGAGTGCTCAAATTGAGAAGTTGTGTGGCTGACCCCCCAAGCCTACTGTCAGTCAGGGTCTGCTCTGCTCCACTTCAAACTGCTGTGGTCCTGGTCACTGTCCACACATGCTTTGTGTGCAGTAAATGACTCCACTATAAGATAGCACTGCCCCCAACGGTACTATCTTATGGTAGTTAGCTAATTTACTCTGCCCTAATGCCAGGACACGTGTAGACAGTAACACTCTACTGGGGAGCTAATTAGTCAACTCCGCAGTAAAGTGCATGTGTAGATGCACCTGAGGAGACCCATCTTTAATAATCAATGGCTAGGCCTCAAGTATGCAAATCCTTCTGCAGACACCCACCCAAACTGAAGTTAGTTAGACTACAGGTAAAGGGATTTAATGACTAGACCCTTAGCTTGTAAAATCTGGGAATTAAAGATGTTCAGTACTTTAGAAGGTTCCACATTTTATGCCCTGATCCTACTACATGTAACACTGGCTTGACCCTAACAACCTGCCTAGGTTAAAAATTGCAGGACCAGAGTACTAATCGGTGAGCTCCCTGTGTGGCAGGGAATCTTAGTTCTTTTTACAGTACTGATCAAACTGCCAGTACTACCCAAACAGTATCTACTGCTTGTTTTACTAGGCAGAAAGGTTGTATTTTTTTATTTCACCTTTAATGCAAGAAAAGGGAATCTGGATCTTCAAGTCTATATTAGGTAAATTTTAATAAACGCACATCATTTCAGTGCAACATTAATGTAGATCTTAATCTATTCTGGGGTCTTTAATAAAACAGACTAAGCAAAATTTCTGAGGGGGAAAAAAGGAAATGTTTAAAGGCCCCAGTGTTACAATGTGATCCATGCAGAAAGTGATTTCATGCAGAATCAGTGACTTGCATCATAATCTGATGTACCTGTTTAGAAGAAAATATTAACCAAGACCTTTTAATTAACTTACCTTAGTTGTGATTTACTGCATTTCAGCAATATTGTGTGCAGGAACTGTTTGCGCTGCTTGTCTGTCCACAGATCAAACCAGTGGCTTATAAGTCCAACTCTTTCCTGAAAGAGCTACAAGGAAACACAGTATTTTCATACACAATTCAGCATGTCATATAACCCTGTGTAATCCTACTGCGTGTCTAACAAAGCTTGTAGATTGTATGATCCTACAAAGAGAAATGGGACTGAGACATAGGTTATGTTTCAGTGATACTGGTCACTGATCTGCTCTATAAAACAAGCCAAGCCATTTCACATCTCTGCCTGTTTCCTCTCATATCTTTTTATCTGCCGTCTTCGTTGAATACATGAGCTCTTCAGGGACAGTGTATAGGGGCTGGATTCTCTGCTGGGACCTTGAGCTCCCGCTGGTACACAACAAAGAGCAGCACTAATGAGTAGAGTATTATGGAGAATTGTGCCCATTGTTCTTATTCCTTTCCTGTCTGAATAAATCAGCTCTCTCGTGTATTTACAGAGCAGCACTGGCTGTATATCTGCCTCTGATGATCCTTGACAATAGGGATCTTGATGGAGACCAGACATTAATTTTTGTCCTCCTTAGCACTGGGTTTTGTGGGGGGTGGCACTCCCTCCAAGTCAGTGGTTTTCAATCTGTGGCCCACAGACCCCTGGGGGGCCGCAACAGATGGCAATGATCAAAAGTATGTGAATACCCACACTTACAATTCAAAGGGGTCCGCACATCCATTTGAAATTTCCAAAGGAATCCACAAAGAAAAAAGGTTGAAAACCACTGCTCTAAGTTAAAAGGAGGACCTCAGCTTACCTGCCCCCTGAAGATACAGTCTACTTCCTCTCACTCCCTCTTCCAACTGCTATTCAGCAAAGATCTCATTCCTTACACCTTCTCATTTTCCCAGCAGGCACGAACATGGACACAGATGTGCATTTAGAAGCAGGCTTTGGGGAAATATACCCATTTAATTAAGAACAGTTTCTAATCTGATTAAAGAAAAAGAACCATTTACTTTTTAAAGTGCTAATGTTTCAATGCATACATTAGTTATTAAAAAGAAAACACATCATAACAATTAATGAAATAGGATGTTCTCATCTTAGTTCTCTACTGTGTTAGAGACAATTGTGAACCCACTGATGCAGTGGTCTCCAACCTTTTTAAGTAGGAAATCACCTTTGGCATTTAAAAGCAACCTAACATCTACTGTGCGCCACCGCCACCCCACCCCACCCAGCAGGTAAGTCTGTGGGGAGGGAAGGGGGAGCAGATCAAGGCAGGGGGAGAAAAAATTATTTGGGGGCACACTTCCCCAGCTGGTAAGTCCCACCCGACTGGGGCCCCACTCAACTTACCTCTGCTCCTGCCTCTGCAGCACTGTCCCTCACCACGGGGGCCTCAATCTAGCCCTCGCCCCTTCCCTCCCCATGGACTAACCTGCTAGGCTGGGATGCACGTATGCATGCACATGGGTACTCAGCCCCCAACCCCAGCCTTGGATCAACTCCAAAATCTATTGGTGGATCGAGATCCATTGGTTGGTGACCACTGCACTAATGGATACAGTAGATGTACTGTAAGCAAGTCTCAAGCCTAATGGGGACAATACCTGTTGCTGACAGAAATCATGGTGGTAGTACTCTTTGTTATTTATCTGCATTACAGTAGTACCTGAACCCAGAGCCCTAATTTCTTAGGCCAATGGCTCTTAACTAGGGTGCTATAAGGTCCTTACAAGAGTGCCATGGGGTGCCTCACAATGTTAGCACATTTAGTTTTTACAAACAATTCAGAAGATATACCCAGAGATTTCAAATAGAAATCCATAGCTGTGGTCTTTCGGAGTTCTTTGCAACAGAAAAGCTGTTCTATTATGTTTTTATGTAGGCAAAAAGAGAGCGAAAACTAAAAACTGGCATTTTTCAAGGGGTGCCCTGAGTCTATCCAAGGATGCCTCAGATCTAAAAAGATTGAGAACCACTGTCTTATGCCCTGTACAAATGCATAAAATAAGGAGTCCCTACCACATTTTTATTAAAGGGTCAAATAAAATAAATTTGCAGCAATTCAAAGGCAAGACATTTTTATAACTTTCTTTCATATGGGATTGTTTCCAATATATTTACCCATTTACTTTTACCATACATACCTCAGTGTGCATATTGTAAAATCTTCCCCTGCCACTGTGTTGTCAAACACGAGTACGGTATTTTTAAGATACATGGCAATTTGTGCCAGCGCATTTCAAGCAAATCAGGACAATCATTTCTACCTGAATTTAACTTACGTGCTTGTTGAATGATTTGTTTGCAATAGGTGTCCAAGCACTGAATCTTGTATGCAAGCTCCCAGTGGCCTGGATTTGACCAGATAACTCCCTGATGGACTTTTCAGTACCTTCAGCAAGGAGCCCTAAGCTCCGTTGTTTAATGGTGTGTGGGGTAGGTGTTACAGAAGCTGTTGTCATCATCACTGCAGCAACAGTTCCATCAGTTATAGACTCACTACACAGTTCAGACTTTTGCTAGAAACCACCTAGACATTTCAATGAATTAAATACGTTGATTCCTAGGAGAGAGAAGAGTACAAGTCTGGATTCAGATCTGAATTTCAGTCCCAAACGCCGCAGCTGACATTCTATTTGAAGCTGGAGCATGAGGTCAGAGTATGTATGTAAAGAAAATGTTAAAAATAACTTGAGGCCTGCACATACAACAGCTGAACACCAATACAATTTTGTACACTGATGCAAAATGCACCAGGACCTGGAGCAGACAGACAACTTGTTATCCTTGGGTAGTTATTATGACACCTCACCATTACACAGCATGGGAGCTGTTGCTTTGAACCAACAGTTACCCTAGGAAACTACAGCCACATACACCACATATGTTGGTGTAATTTACACTGGTGCATATTTACTGCTATTTTTTCCTGGAGAAACTCTACACAAACTTCCAATGAGTTACCTTAAGGTAGGGACTTATGTCATTTTGTCCCCACTTTTTTTTACACTCATGTAAAAGCAGCTTACATCAGCACAAACACGTCCTGTGTCTAGGCATTTGATGTTAATCTTACATTTTACAATCTTATTTGAGTGGGATAAATGTATCCATAGATAACCCCTTCACTTGGACTATGACATTCATAAGTGAGGCTAGGACTGGTTAGTGAGTACTGTACCTAGATAACAGGCTCCCCAAGAAACCCAAGGTGCCACCGGAAATGGCACTCAGGAAGGATTGATTTGTAACAGGGCTGTCGACCAGAACTTTGAGCTAGAATTCTCAATAAATCCGCAAGAAACAATATTGTCTTTTTCTTTTAAATGAAAACTGATACAGAAATAAAAATGTAATTAATTATAATACAATTCAAATCAGGATCAAGTGCCTTCTTATCAATGAGTTCTTCAATATAAGGACTAGCATCAGATCCAGCGAATCTCCTAGTGCCAGGCCTGTGACCATGGAGCTGGCACTGGGAGATAAGGATCTCCCAGCCCCCACTACCTGATCACAATCTCTGAGCAGGGTTGAGGCTTGGAGCAGGCAGCTCGCACAGGCACGAACCAATCTCCCGTTCCCTGGTGGCCAGCTGACCAGGAGCAGATTTGCTCCCAGTCAGGCATCGATACAAGCACTACTGCGCAGTAAGTAATCTTAAGTAAATTTGCTACTTGCATTTGCAGGTAGAAAATTTACTCACAATTAGTGAGGTTTACTATGCAGCAAACATGTGCATGTGTAGACACACACACTTCCTGGGCACGTCTACATGAGATGCTACATCACCGTAGCAACGAGCTATGGCAATGTAGCTTGTTGCTACAGCAATGTAGCATTGGCAGGACAAACTGTAATGCTGACACTACTGCGCAGTAGTGACAAGCTATGTTGCTGTAGCTTGTCACTACAGTGACGTAGCATCTAAAAATAATCATGCACCATCGGGACTTGCTTTAAAAAGTACTAAATGACTGCACAGTATCAAATGAGCAGTCAGGGGCACATGCTGACGTGACCCCTGCGTAGTAAGCTATGCTACTGCACAGTAAAGCGTCTCATGTAGATGCACCCTGAGACAACTGTTCCCTTTGTTATCAATTAGAGCAAGTACTGAACAGGTAGAAAGAATAAACTGCGCTTGCTAACACAGAAAACTTTCCTATTTCCAGCTGAAATACAATGGTGGGAAGGCCTGGGAAACATACATTATGACAAGCCCTTTCTATAGCTATTACATATTGAGTAAATATTTATTCTAAAGATAAAAGGTCTCCTGGATTTGTATTTTTCTAATAGTACAATGTCTTCATTTTAAAGGCATTAAAAGAGTAAAGTTATAAGGGAACTACAACTAGGATAGAATATACTTACCTGACTTATAAACTGGCTGGAACAAAAAGGCATGGCACAAACACTCCATGAAATTTCTAAAGGCTAGAAATGGTCAGGACTTCCCCTGGCCCTTCACCTAGGTCGCACCCTCTGCAATGGCTACTATACTGGAACCATATCTCTACTGCACATAACACACTGCCACCTGCTGGTACAAACCGATCATGCCCACTCTACCCGATTTATTAACTTAACAGCATAAAAAAAGACTCATAGATTTCATAGACAATAGGGCTGGAAGGGACCTCAGAAGATCATCGAGTCCAGCCCCCTGCCCAAAGGGCAGGAAGTCAGCTGGGTTCATAGGATCCCAGCAAGATGAGCATCCAGTTTGCTCTTGAAGGTGTTCAATGTGGGCGCTCATTTTTCAATTTCGAAATCTCTACTGGTGTTGTTCTTCAACCTGCATGATAGGCCTCCACGCTACTAGGTTCTGCATTTTCTAGTGACAGTAACAAAACCAGAATAAAAACAAAGGCTCTTCTTCCCATAGAACACAAAAAAGTTGGTCACAGTGTATCGAATGCTTTACCTCTCAAGAGGGGTATGGCTTGCATCTCTTTCTCTCTCTCTCTCTGATGAAGCTGCTGAAAAGCTCCAGTGAAAGCTGGAATTACTGTTGTATTAGACAAGGGTCACTGCTCTCAAATCTCCATAGGAACTGCACAACAAGCTACACCCTGGGCTCTCGGCCAGAGCTGGACTCAGCTGTGTTTGCCTTGAGTGTGCCCCACCCTTAAAGAGGAAAGGAACAGGACCAGGGAGAAAGGAGTGGTTCAGATTCCAGTTGCGATAGACAACTTGCTGATGGTCACAGGGGGACTACACGACACCAGTATGCAGCCATGGGGGGAAAAAAAAAGCAAATGCAAGCCAAGGATGTAATCAGGCAAGCTATTTCTAATAGAGATATGGAAATATTAATGCCTTTGCACAACATACTAGTATATAACACAGTATATAATTCTGGTCTGCTATATTCAAAATAGACAAATTAAAACCGGAACAGGTAGAGACAAAGTCTGTCAGGATGGTCAGGTGAATGGAGAACCTATCTTGGCAGAAGAAACTAAACAAGCTTTGCTTATTTAGCCCAGTAAAATGATGGCTAAGAGAAATATAATTGTTGTCTCTAAATATATTGGGAGGTATTCCCTAGGGAGCCAAGAGCTAGTTAAGAGACTGCATTGGTGGAAGAACATGAACTGTCTAATTTCCAGCTGCATTTGTTTAAATTTCAAACCATAAGAGCAGTGAGATACTGGAACAACCTTTCAATAGGAGTAGTAGTGGGAATAAAATACCTAACATTAAAATAGAGCTTAATCCGTTTATGAAAGGTTTATATGGTGTGGCAGGCTGTATTTTCAGGATACTGCACACAATAATTCTAAGGCCCTTTCCAGAATTGTGCTTCCTAGATGCACAAACATTATAAGAAGATATAGGCAAGATGCCCCTTATGTTCTCATTCTAACTCTCTCAGTCACCCCAGATATTTTGGCTGAGTGGGAAGAGGAATGGTAAATACAGATGGGTGTACAGGGTTGTCGTCCTGGCTGCTGCCTGAGGGTGGGGTGCCAGAATGGATGTGGGAGGGGCTGCCTCCTTCTCGATCCCCTCTGCACCCTTCCTAAAGAGGCTCCAGCAGTCAGGGCAAACGTGCAGTCACAAGATTAGTGCCAGCAACAGCCTCACTTCTAAGGGAAGCCACAGCTACAGGGGGCGAAAGTACCAGTGCAACAAGAAGTCAGAAAGTTAACGCTCTCACATTCCTTCTTTGTCTATTTTTAAATCACCACTCTACATATGTCTGTGGCAGTGCTCATTCCCCGCACTGGGCACAACTCTTATTTATGCCTCTGATCATTGCAAATCACAAGAACATCCATCCCAGCCAGTGAACAATGCAGCAAATAGGTCAGCAACCCTTACGTAGGAAGAGGATTGTTTTTTCATGAACAACTATTACAGAAGTAGGTAAGATTTTCCAAATAATAAAGCTTGAAAAATCAGGTTACAAAAGCAAACAATTTTCACAGGGTCATGAAGCCAGTCAGTGGCACTATTGGAAACAGAAACCTGTTGTATTCCAACGTCCAATATCCTCAATGATGTTCTTAAGAAATAGCAAAGCCTCCTAACATTTGTCTCCAATAGAAATAGGTAATTTCACAAGAAATGGACTAAGATACTGCCTACATTTCCATAACAATGCTGATTAAAATATTTGCAACTATTTAAACAAACAAGGTGCCACCACACAATATTAGCACTGTTAGGTATGGAAATATCAACATGATTCATAAAATAAACCCAGAAATTTCAAATAGAAATCCATAGCATTGAAATGTTCTGACCTGTTTGTTGTCCGAGTCCTTTGCAACACAAAAAACTGCTTTTTTCCAGAATCAAGAAATAAGAGAAAGCTAAGAACTAAATTTTTCCAAGCGGTACCTCGAGTCTAAAAGCTTGAAAACCACTGATTTAGACAGTAGGTTTGGCCAGTTTTTATTCTTTATATTTGGTTACCTTTTATCTAGAACGTTGCCCAGAAGACAGTAGCTTATTATCTCAATGGCAATAAATTGAGGTAATAAATGTCCTAGTAGAAACAGAATATATTCAGGTTTGGTGATAAGGTTTCCTTGGCAGGGGGAGTGAAGTAGGGAATACTAAGCATCTAGCTCAACAAGAAGACATCAGTGGCTTGACATCTAGTGAGAAAAAGATACTGACTTCAGCACCTTGCTTGAAGTTTCAGGCACTCTGGAGACTCAAAATGACCCCAAATAAACTGGCAAAAGCATCATAAATCAACTGAATGCAGTTCTGTTTCTACTAGGATGCTTATTACCTCAATTTATTGCCAGTAGGATTATAGTGAGAAAGTTCTTCTACTATCCAACCTAAAAAGCCTCTGCTGCAATTTAAGACCATTGCTCCTAATCCTGTTCCCTTTTGCACAGAGAATGGTTTGTTTCCATCCTCTTTATAATCTGCCTTCAAATATTTGAAGACTGTTATCTAATCCCCATCTCAGTTTTCACTTCTCCCTACCGCATAATCCTTGTTTTTTCAGTTTTTCCTCCTAAGTCATGTTCCAAAGATCTCTAATCTTTTTCTTCGCTCTCTCTCCTGGATCCTCTCTCGTTTGTTCACATTTTTCTTGAAGTGTAGGACTGGAAACCGAATTCAGTACTCCAAGTGAGGCCTCACAAGTACTGAATGGCATGGAAGGTTCAGTAATAGTCAGTATGCTATTGTAGAGTTGTACCGGGGGGGGGGGGG